CTGTAATATTCCTTGATTCGACTTTTTTAAGGTCGCATTTACGAACTCAGAATACTCATTTTATCCTATGATTTTCCAACAAGCACGTTCTAAATTGGTATACGAAACATTTCTACTTCAGTAACTAAGTTATGTTTTGCTATATTTGTGCTCTTATAGTGTCTACAGGGTGTGTCTGGATGGAAGTCCAGGAAACCTTGCTGCGTAAATGGTTATATGAAATCTTGACGAAAATATGTTTGATATGATAGAAAAGTTAGACTGCTTCGAATTTCTACTCAGCGGTTTCTTTCAAAATCTCTTTTTGGTTAATTTGTTTTGTGCATTGTTGTTTATACTGAGGTTTCCGTATTTATTGGTTCTCATAAAAATAACTGTACTTTTTTATTATTATTTTCATTCTCTTCTCTCTAGTTTTTGTTTCTCGGGTCTGGTATAGATGAACAACTAGCTGGTTATGCTCGTCACCTTACTACCTATAAGTGAGTTATTTTACTTGTCTTGGAAATATTTTTCTCGGTGTAATCTGTTTTATCATTATTATCATTATGTATAATTATTCCTTTGTTCTCCGAGTGGAACATAGGGCTTCAACATCACATCTCCATTTTGTCCTGTTCTCTTCAGTCCTCTTTAGCTGGCCCGTCGGTCACTCACAAGCTTTCATCTTCTCTTCACGCGATATCAACCGTGTCATCCTCAGAAACTTACTCGTTGTTTCCCACCAGGCTCACAATGTCACTCAACGGTCTCCTCAGTGTGTATCCAATCCACCTCCATTTTCTTCGGAATATTTGTTGAGCAATAGGTTCTCTTTTGGTTCGTTGCTAATGCTTTCCGGTCGACTGTCTGTTCTTTGTTACAAAGCGAAGACAGCTGTTGATAAAAGTTTGCAGTAGTCTGACGGAGATGCCTTTTGTGACGCTCCGAGTTCATGACTCATATGGAGGAACTGATTTGCCAGTAATGCAATGGAACTAATTTGGATTTTGTTCAGTGTGATAAATCTCTACAAGGTTTCTTTTAAAGTTTACATTAAATTTAAACTGACAGCTACTTTTGAATTCAGCTCCGTTAAACTTTGTTAGTATTATCGCCTTAATATTTTATTGTTACCATAATATTTTCTTGGTGTACATGAATCTTTGTTCATCGAATCTACACCCAACACATGCAATAGGAATGATTCATCACTCATACCCGAAATATGGAAAATATTGCTACCAATCAAATCAAGTGAAAAACAATGGAACTATATAAATAAATTTAGGAAGTCGTGCGATTACCTTGATATGATTATGAGCAATAAATTGTGCTCGAAACGTCATCAGTAAACATTACTGTATAAAACTGTGAGACTTTATCAAAACAAAGTTTACCCATACCATATTCAGTCTAGTTGATTGAAGACAATCACTTGAACTATCCCATGAAGAGTGATGCACAAATTATTTCATTCATCATTCTTAACAGCGGTCACTTGTTTTCTCCTAAAAATATATCTCTTATTAGATTTTTACGCTTATTCATCATTCTTTTCCATTTATTTTTCTGATATTCAAGGAAAGTCAATGCGCAATCTTAAAAGTCCATTGTTTCATTTAGCACTACATAACTTGATTCAAGTGTAAGTCGACGGTTCAGTGTTAGAATGTTCTCTTGCTCCGCACGTCGGTTGGGAGGTCTATCCCTGACTGACGCACTCCGAGACTGTCTAGTTAACTTGCTCGTAAAAGACTGAAGGTTGTTCGTGAGGCTAGCAACTCTACCCCGTAAAGTGCTACACAGCTACTGAAAAGTGAAGGCTTCAAACCTGGAGCCCTATGTTTCACTCGGAATGCAAAGGATCAACTGGTTGACTAGAATTTAATTCCTTCCTCTCCTTGCAAAGGGGAAATAAATCTTTTTTTATATTAGATGGTTGGAGACAATCGGCAGGAAGCCGTGTACCTAGGTTTCGTGCTAGTTGGCATTCGCCAGTAAGGCGTATCTGTAATCTTTTTTTTCTCCGCACTCTATTATCGAAACACCCATTCATTGTGAGTAGTCATTTTAAACCATAGAATTGAGCAAATAGACTTTATTGCAATATACTTTAAATAAAATGAAACGCTCTCTTTCTCTAATGGGAAAATAAGTTACTGATTTCATACATGCATTTTGGATGTAAATGTTGCACTTATCTCTTCTGTTTAATCCAGAAAGGTTTATTGCAGTATTGTATTAGCAGACCGTGCGAATCCCACAGTTGCCATTCTTGCTTCACTGGCTTTCTTTATGTCTCTTATATACTGCTACCCAAATACTGTTTCGAAATTCTCAAACTTCTTTTCCAAAGAGAGCTTTTTTCCTGAACTAATATTCTGTCTTGTAGAACCGTTTTGTTTCCATTCTGCTCAAACAAAACATCCTGTTTACTCCAAGAAATAATTAATTTATGTGGATAGAGGTGTCAGACAACGATTTTTATCTACAAATGTTGTTGAACAGTCTTATCACACACACACACACACCTCATTTAGATGTGAGGGAAAATAATCATCGATGATGTTAGTCGGCGGTCGCGCCACATATCACAAATAGGCACTGTATTCCCTCCCAGTGTCTGAATGCTCAATGATCTCACCTTGTAATCAAAATGTCTTTTTGAGGTTGGGGGACGACATGGGAGTGTACTGATGAAGAGTCACAGACTAGGACGAAACAACTGTGCAGTACTCTCTGGTTTCCAGTGGTACTTTAACAGAAGTCAGCTTGTTATCAATTATTATTATTGTTATTACTATTCACTAGGAATCTTCCAGCGAGGCGAAATCGTTTATTACACACGGTCTTCATTTTTGTTTGCTTACATATATTCGAATGAAAGCAGTCTTTCGTAGTCACTGTGAGACAGGTTCGCAAGCTCAAAGATGTTCGACAGTCAACAGATCTATCTACCTTTACAGGTCTTTCACCTACCCCCTACCCACCCACACACACACACAGAGATTGTATGTAGCATTATTTCTTTTCTATTTTTTGTTTTAATTTATTGATCAATATAGCTATGATATTTACAAATATTTACCGTTATGTTCCATCTTATTGTAATCACTAGTTAGCAGTACCTTCTGCTTATCAAACAAATAATTCTTCTTTTTTTTTAAAAGAAAAAATTCTATTTTTAAAGTAGTCAATCATTTAAATAACAGTCAGGTGGAAGAACACAAGAACAAGAGTGTGTATGCGAGAGAGAGTAGTGAGGATACTTTCTCCTCTTTCATATCACAATATGCTGAAGCATATTTACATTTTACCTATTTGAGATAACTGCAACTCGTCAATGTGTAATAGTTGTTTTCTTCTCTTTTTTCATCTGTTTTTCTCTTTGTTTGCGTTGTATACCTATATTCTCTCTTTGTGTGTGTGTGTATGAATTTGTTTGTTCGTTAATTTGTTTAAATCGAGTGGATAACAACACCTATGCTACACTATCATTCATTCAGTCAGTCGTGTATGCCTGAATAGTTGTTGTCTTATAATGAAGCTCTATAAAAGTTAAATAAAATTGTTTTATTATTTCCGTTCTTATAATTTTTATTTTTCATGTAGTGCAAAAAAAAAATTAATGTTTCCATTTTTATTCAGTTTTTTTTTTATGATCATTGGTTGTGTTTTTACAGGGGTACTAAAAGTCAATGATACTTTTCACTCTAGTAAGATCACTTACAACAGTGTTGTATATTATTACGAGTTGATGATCACGGATTGATATCAGTTAGAGAAGCATCAATCCGTGATTATCAACTCGTAAAAACAAAACTATATCGTGAATTGGCAGAAGTTAGAATTCATGGACTGGCCATTGGATCGGGTCCCAGTGGCTGATGAATGGTCTACGAGCTCGCCTTGTAACTAGAAGGTCCTGGGTTCGAACCCCGTGGTGTGGGCGCGTACTGATGAAGAGTTTCGAGCTAGGACGAAACAGCTGTCCAATACTCCCAGGTTTTCCGATGGTTCTCTAACCAATGTCAGCTCATGATGAAATCCTCCATACAAATAAATAATAGCCAAATAAATGTGTTCACTACGGCATTATCGCTCCCTTGTTTAGTGGATTATTCTTATAGTTTAATGGATGACATTAGTGAAACTTACAATATCAACGAAAGTGAGTGAACTCTGCGTCCTGTTGACCTTTAGAAGAATGTCTTATTCTGTATATAATCGGGAATATTTTTTCCTTTAGCTTAAATCTTTGAAATATTTTCGGCCCTGTAAGTTTTCAGCATTAGTCAAACTGTTATATTCAGTGGTATATTATAGAACAATTTCATCTTATTTATTACCTTTATTATTTGAAATTCACACTAATATATATATATATATATATATATACATGTATATAACTGTTCGTGAGTTACTATTACCTTTGTTATTTGGTTTAGTGATCTTCATTGATATTTTAACTTGACCTAAGTCTATTTTCTCACCCCTTAACTCTTTGTTATATATATGCTGAGATTTTGTAAATTCCGGTTAAATAATACTTTGATAAAGCTATTAGCATTAAAAAGCGAAACTTCAGTAAAAACAATATCGTTTTGTTTTTCATTCATTGGGAAATACATAAACCTTTATTATAATGTTCTACTTGTAGTCTGTTTAAAGAATATATCTATTATTTCCACTGCCTTATTTATAAGTTGTTATGGTACGAATGTAACCATACAGTTTGTCCTCATTCCAATGCTTGTACTACCCTTCTTTTTCTCCTTGAATTGCATGTATGACTTTTGACCTCATGGATGCGCCTGCTGTAATTCCATGTCTAATGCTGATATCTGTCATTTCATACATAACCTTGCACTATCGATTTTCAATCTCTTTTTTTAAATGTAATATGCCTACCTAGTATTATTTCTTCTAATAAAAATGCAGTTCATATTTTTGCCCAGCATTTGGATTCTGTGTATAAGTAAAATCAAGGGAAAAAACAAAACAAAAACAAAATGTTTGTGAAATTAATTTATTTTAATACTTACTAGTTTTCATGTTTACAAGATTATTATTTTTGGTTCTTGTGAAACTCATATTTTTAGTACATTTTTGTATGCACTCGTCGTCTTTTAAGCATTTGAAGGCATTGAAAAACTTGACAATTCTCAAGTTAATTATGAATAAATTTAGTAGTATGTGTTTGAATTCGTAACAAAAAAAAAACAAACAAAATTAATGGTGAAAGTTATTTCTGTTTGTTCACAGTTTGGAATGACTGTCAGGTTTTGTGAGCGTATAAATATATATTTGTGTATATATATGCGCGTTTCTGTATTGGATTATGCGGTTCAAATGTTAAACCTGATGGTATCTTTGATACGTTAAATATTTCCACATATGGTACAAATTTTTTATCATTCATATTTTGTCTATCATATCATAATGATTGCTTGTCTGTTTGTCTTTAACGTTAATTTCTATTTTGGGTAGAATTAATTCGCATGAGCTTTTCTTATTTGTAATATTGTCATCATTAATAATATTATTGTCAGAGGCAAAAGTATTTTCAAATCTCTCCAACTTTCTGTATTCATCGGCAACTCCTTCAGTATAACTAGCCGATCTGGTGTCTTGTGAATTCACTTGTCTACCACCGGTCGGTTTTTCAACGATTAATTTAGGTCGTGTATTGTAATCTGAAATTGACTTGACTAATGTTGGAGGTGTTAAAAATTTTGTTGATTTGCTCCCAGTGATCGGTTTAGAGCATAATTTTTGTCTGTTAGCGTTCACGTAACTGGTACTATTATTAATATTGTGTTTGTTGCTTTGGCCTGGTTTGAAACACTCTTCAAATCGACTATACTGTCTTCTCATCACTATGCGTATAGGTTCATTCAACCAACCATATAACAGTGGATTGACACATGCTGATCCCATAGCAAATAATTTTAATAAAAGATCAATAATTTTTAAATGTTTCCCCGGAATAAGTTCCACTGTAGGTGAAATAAGATTAGGAGGCATTGGTAAAAAGTATGGTTGATTCATTTTAGAAAAAATAAGTTCTTGACACTTTTTAAAACGATCTGAAAGTACACGCAGTTCATCGTTTGATAATCCAAATCTGTTTATTGAGGATAAATCATTTTCAGCATTTAATAATGCTTGTACTTCTAACAGTAAAGAATATAAACACCATGGTGTCCAACAGGCAGCAAAACAGACAACTGTTACCACTAATAGACTGGTTGTACGCTTTTTTCTTTTTTCAGCTTCTTTACTTGCATTCAATTGACATGGTCGTTGTTTTAGACGTCTGTATATAGCTAAGTAAAATCCACCTGATGCACTTAACGGTAAAAGAACTAATATAACAAAGATTGATACAGAATATGCAAATCTTAACTTTGCACTTGGCCATGTTTCAACACAATAAAGATAATCATCGGTACCCTCAGTACTGATTTGTATTGCCACTGGAATTGAATTCACTACACTAAATACAATTACAATACTGATTAAACCAAGAGCAGCTTTCGGTGTTAATTGTGTTTTCAATGGATAGACAATTAAACGATATCTGTCGAATGCAATTAATAAAATAGTTAAACATGATATATACATTGGTATACCAAAACTACTAAATAATACTCGACAGAAATCTGTACTTGGCTTATAATTCTCAGTTATCTCATAATACAATTGGATTGGCATACTAACAGAACATAAGAAGACATCTGAAACAGCCAGGCATAATACAAATAAATTTGTTATATTTTGTGATAAAGTTTGTTTCCGAAATTTTAATAAGGCGAATATTAAAGTCAAGTTGAATGTTGCACCGCATATAATAAATAATGAATAAATGCATATTAGAAAATTATGCATGCTTGGTATACGATGTGATGATAACTCTGCTTTGCCTGAAAACATTGAAGTTGAATTTTCAGGTTGATTTATTCCAGTTGGTGATGTTGTCGTATACATATTTGACGTCTGCACTTGCAGTAATGATAACTGATCAAATTTATAATTGTTAGATGAATTTGATAAATTAGCTTTTACATTGATTTTACCAGTCCAATTTGTTGGATTGGTTTGATTGATTGGTGTAATGACACTGTTTATCATAAGCAATGATGTACACCTGAAAAGAAGTGAGTGGAATCTTCGTAACAAAATGTATTTGGCTATGATATGAGTAGTATTCAATTCTCATGGTTCATCCTATCCAGCACTTGTCTCCTGATTGCGCAACTAATACTATTACTACAGACATGACAGCGCTATCAGTTAAGCTATGAAATTACGAGTAGTTTCATCTTGTACGACACTAGATTTGTATTTATAACACCCCAACTACGATTCAACAACCTGATGCAAAACACCGCATTTGTGACACGAATTTTTATTAAGGATATCTTTATGTACTCAGCATCGATAACAAGATTTGGATTTTTCACATTAATGTCTAGTCAGCGCTTCTATATGATTCAGAGACTTAGCACCTCACGAGGAGCATTTCCATCAGGCTTTAAACTTTCACCAACAGCTAATTTTGCTCAATAATGAAAATCAGATGCCCAATCAAGAACACAACAAATATTCAGACGGAAATGGAGATGGATTAGACAAATGCTGAGAGGACCCTTGAGTGACATCACGTGGGTGAAAACCAATTAGGAAACAACAAGTTGGACGTCACTGGGAGTGTGACATGGAGAAGATCGTATGAAGAGTAGATGAAAGCCTATGAACAATGGTACAGCTACCCAAAAAAACCTAATGAGAATAGAGTGAAATGGCGATGTGTTTCTGTGTTCCACTCAGAACCCAAGGGAATGATAATAGTACTTTTGTTTTGACAAGTGCTAAGAGAAACGTTCTGAATTTAATTATCTGTTGCGATCATGCAGTATGGAGAAGTAATTTAAAGGTGGTTGTGGAACTATTTAAAAATCGGAAAAGTCTACAAGTCGTAATCATATATATATATATATATATATATATACGATTCCTGAATCAAAAATAGTAATAACTACCATGTATTTCTATATATTTCAAATATTCCAGATATCATCCAAAATTGACTTGATAAGTCTTTTAATTAGTTACTGAAACTATCATTTAATCTTCAGTAGGAAGGGGACTAACTTCTTCTCTATGTGTAGTTGTTTTGCCGGGCTTTGTGATACACAGATCCAGATAAAATCAAATTACGTACCACCCACTGACATGATGATTCAGTTTAGTCACTGTGATAAGTGTCAACTTTAGTAATTCATTAAAAACCTGTATGACAACAGCACTGAATGAAAATGTTGATTCAGATGGTTGAAAATATATGAATTTTGTTGAATACGAGGGTTTACAACACACAAACTCCAGCTTGTCATTCGACAACATTAAGTTTGTGCAACATTAGATTTCGACTTATCTTTTTTGAAATCAATGTAATGCTGAAGGTATTCAGGCCTACTGATAAGAAATCTACAATAAAAGACAAAGGAATATAGAACAATTCTTATATCTCGTCTTCATCTGTGAATCTTTCACGTTTCTAGTCTTAATATGTCTATTAAAATTACTCATATGTACAAAATAGGTTAACTACAATCAAACTGAATTTTTTTTCCTTCACGTTCCACAGTGGAACATAGGGATTCAAGCTAGTGGCTTGAAGTTTCTGTAGCAGTGTTTGTTTTACAGGATGCGGTTGCTAGCCTCATGCCCAACCTTTCTTCTTCACCAGCATTATTACTGGCTAAGCAAGGTAAAGGAGTGCGTCGGCCGGGGATCGAACCCCGGACCATGTGCATGGTCGGCGAGCATCCTAACCGCTATGCCACCGACGCCAAACTGAATTAGTCAGTACATATTTTCACTCAGTTATGCAATTCACAAGGTATAAGTTCTGTTTTTAGATAAGAGTTTCATCGGCAAAGACTGATTTTTCTTTTTTTTTCAACTGGAAAAACCAGCTATTTTTCTATTCACTTCTTTAATGTGTGCATGCTTATTTCCGTGTTGTATTTTCGCTTTTGGTGTGCAGTTTAAAAATTTTATCAGCAGATTTACTGCAAATTTTTAATGCGTTTAATCAAGATTTTGCGTGTTTCGCTAATTAACCCATAAGGCGAACATTGATTGTTTTTAGTCTAACCAACAATACTGATGGAATGTTGTATGCTTTTCGTGTTTCATTTGCTCTTTGATTGATTAGTTAAACTAGGAAGTATGTTTTTAATGAATATTTCTGAATAAACTGGTTTCTCGTTTATTTCACCTCAGTAAACCTGATGTTGGTGTCTGCTAATCATAATTAATGTTTTGAGTTATCGTAAGAATTTCGAATGTTTGTTTCCTTATTACTTCTTTATTATTATTATTATTATTATTATTATTATTATCTGGTACTCCATTTTGAGTCATTTGTTCATTTTGTGGTGGTGTGATACAAACAATGGGTTCCAACGGAATATTATTCTTACAGTAAAAATCATTTTATATGTTGGCGTTAACGTCTGAATACTATTCCCACAGTTCAATAGTGCATTAGCCACAGAATAATATATGTATTTGAACATTCTATTTCATGTCGTTTAATGGAAAACAAAATCACACGCTCAGTGGATTAGTTAAAAAATATATCTATACATAAACTGTATAACTATAAATCCGGGTTTGATCACTTGAAAATATACCTTGGCTTCCGGGTCTTGCCTTCTGCTGTTACAGTATTATCTGTGCTGGCTAACTTATTGTCTTGTTTCAGTTCAAAATATGTGAAGAAGCGTCGTATTATTTCTGACAACATTTATAGTCAAACAAATTAAGATATCGCATATCAAGAAATAGTCCATCGGTGGCATAGCGGTTAGGACGCTCACCGACCATGCACAGGGTCCGGGGTTCGATCCTCGGTCGACGCACTCCCTTACCTCGCTAAGCCAGTAATAATGCTGGTGAAGAGGAAAGGTTGGGAATGAGGCTAGCAACCGCATCCTGCAAAATAAACACTGCTACAGAAACTTCAAGCCACTAGCTTGAATCCCTATGTTCCACTGGGGAACGTGAAGGAAAGAAAAAAAAATATCAAGAAATACCATATTAGTGTTTAGGTAGTGCGGTATAAATTTAAGTGATTTTATTGTTTCCATTCTTTTTAAATACATCTGAGATTAGCCTTTGTTTTTGCCGCTTTTGTGTGCATGGTGTTATGACAAATAAAACAGCAACTACAACCTTAGTGAAAAAAAGAATGGTGATGCTTCGAAATTAGGTTTCCTGTATATCCTAGGGTAACGATTGTTGTTAGACAACTGTGAGCAAGAATTCGGCTGGGTAAATGTAAAACTCTTGAATGTAGGGAATTATTAAGGATGCCATAAAATTGATTGATGGGATCAGTCTACAACCAGGATATATATATATATATACATATATATATAAAGCTAAATTTAGTGGGTCGGAAACCATATAAACTTGGCTATTAGTATTGAAGCCAATAAAAATACTGATAAGAAGAATACTGGATATAACCAAAAGCATTTAATGTCATCGAAAAAGACGATTCTGGGAGATATTGTGTAGTAAGTCAATGTAAAGATTCTTGCCTAAAACATTCATGTGAGTGGATATGAAAGCATTATAATTGTTATATCAAGTACAAATAAAACAGTCATCCACCTGTTACTGTCTATGATTTAACTATTAGATGAGATAAAATTAGTTGATATACTCAGTAGGTAAACCTTCCCACTTATTTGTCATCTACTTCAATAACTTGATATTTTCTGTCTTTTATTCCTTTGCGTTCCGAGTGGAATACAGAGCTGCAAGCTTAAGGTTTGAAGTTTCACTTTTAGTGGCATTATTTCTACAGGATGAGGTTGCTAGCCTCATGCCCAAACTTGCCTCCTTTCCGGGCTTATTACCGACCAAGCGAGCTTTTGGAGTGAGTCGATCGGGGATCGAATCCCAGACTACATGTGGCGTGGTTAACGAGTGAAATCTATCGCTGAATCACTGACACACATGAATTCCTCTATTCCTGTTTTTTTTTGTTTACGTTTCTAAAACACTAATATTTCTTGGCGTTGACGGAATTTCGTCATCGTTTCAAAGTCAAGTTTAATTAAACACAAGTAGTTTGCTTCAATAATTTCTTTTCTTTTACAGCAGACTAGATCAGCAGGACAACACTTTGAGCAATGTCTTCACATGGCCAATATCAGTTTTTGTTATCTTGTTTCCCTTACACTTGATTAATTCATGGACTAATTATAAATGACTTGAAAAGACTGGGTATTATTTCGCTAACATCTTTTTTGCTTCTCTTTTTATTTCTTTAATGTGAATTGGTCGAAAAGTTACTAGTCTTTAGATGGCTTTTACGTTAACTTGTAAACGCGTTTTTGTCTTTTCAGATTTAACATTTTCCATTGGTGCTAATGAAGCTTCAAATGCACGTATGATTATAGTTTCTGGCTGTTAGCCTCAAGCCTCCGGCTTGAAGTTTCTGTAGCAGTGTTTATTTTTACAGGATGGGGTTGCTAGCCTCATGCCCAACCTTTCCTCTTTATCAGCTTTATTTCTGGTTTACCGAGGTGAAGGAGTGCATATGCCAAAGGTGGTTGAAAGCAGCTGAACTCAAAGTGCGTAAAAGTTCAATAACAAAGCATCTTGTTGACCATGAATTTGATGTTGACGGTGTCAAGTCATTCACTGTTGTCAGCAGGCAAAGAAAGAGGGACATGCTTGTGAAATTAGAGTTTATAAACTAGGCTTCTTTGTACAAAATGGTGGTCACTCTGAATCTACCATGATGATATGTTTTACTTATTAACCGTTGTGATCATTATTACTAATGTTTTACCTATTATTGTTACTATTTCTGATTCATTTAAAACTATCTTTTATTAACATTATCTCAACTCGTTTTAACATTATTAGTATTGATTAACACAACTAGTAATATTATTAGCATTACTGTTACTATCAATATTATTTAATTCGGAATTCTTGATATCTTATCTTTCTTATATACCCCAATGTAATTCTAATGGTATATATATATATCCCTGTATGTAGAGTATCCAGATGAAGAGTTCTGCTGAAATTTGATGAATTCATTAAATTCTACTT